TTAAACTTATATTAAAGTTTTTCTTCATTACCCATTTAAGCCGTCTCCAGCCATTATTTTAATAGAATGTTCTCTTGAGTTACAGACTGTATATTATTAAAGCATTTTAGTAGAATATTATCTGATGATACAAAAGCTAGATTGTTGAAGTATTCTACATTACACATTCTATATTCTATATCATTAAAGCATTCTGGTAAGAAATTCACTGGAGTTACTGAATATAGATTATTAAAGTATTTCAATCGAATAATCCCTGACCTCATAGATGAAAGAGATTCATTACAATCTAAGGGTTTGGTATGATAATTTCTGATTATCAACTGTTGTATTATTATTTAGAGAAATACGTGAAACCCTTATTTTCTATGTTTAATATTGAAAAGTATAGTTGTAAGTAATCCATCATTCTCCTTTATCTGATCAATTAAAAAGTGCAAGTGAGGCCTTCTGAGAAGTGAAAATACATAGAACATGACTACGTCATGAGGTATTTCTAGTTTATGCCACTTATTGATCATCGACCTTTGTTTAAGTGTAATGTAACATTTTTGCACACTAGCAGATAAGGCTTAAACAAATGTTTTCTAAGTCTAGATTAGCGTACAGGTGGGAGATATTTTAACCCAAACCATATCTCATCTCCAAATCACCTTGCACAAACCATATCTCATCTCCAAATCACCTTGCACAAACCATATCTCATCTCCAAGCCGCCTTGCACTAACTATATCTCCAAGTCACCTTGTACTAATCATACCTCATCTCCAAGTCACCTTGTACTAATCATACCTCATCTCCAAGTCACTTAGAACTAACCATATCTCATCTCCAAGTTGCCTTGCACTAACCATATCTCATCTCCAAATCACCTTGCACAAACCATATCTCATCTCCAAGTCACCTTGCACAAACCATGTCTCATATCCAAGTCACTTAGAACTAAGCATATCGCATCTCCAAGTCATCTTGCTCTACAACAGAGATTCAGTGAAACGACCCATATACGTTGAGACATGTGGATTTAGTACTTAAAGAACGCAGTACACATATAAAGGTTACCGTTTCAAATAAACATGTTATAAAAAATTAGCACACTCCAAGGAAACAAATACGGGTTTAATTCCAATAGACACTACACTTGTTTTTGGCAAGGTGAGGATTCACACTCTAAGAAAACAAATAAGAGTATGATTCCAATAGACACAACCCTTGTTGTTGAAAGGGTGAGCAATTCGTACCTTAAAAGTATCAATTGAGAACAACAACAATAAAAAAAGCTCACGCTCCTACTATGTATGTAAAGTTATGAATTTGTAAATAAAGTGGAAGTCATATAAATAGATTCTTAAAAATAAAAGAACTGTAGAAACACAAGCACTCAGTTTTACAGTAACATAATATTTTTTGAATATATTTTTGAAACTAGAGTGGAACTTCTATGTATTCTCTTAGATTATCGCGCATATTCTTCATTGCAGTGTTCGTAATTTTATGCCTCGTCAAAAATTTGAAAAACTGGTAAAAGCATTTTGCTTGCGGAGTGTTTACGTAATCGATTTAGACCAGTTTTACACGTTTGTACCTGTGTCGTCCATATCCAGTGTGAACGTGCCAACTCGTTAACTAAATTGCTGGAAAAAGCGTTTCGATTATTATATTCAGAGTTCTATCGCAGTGGCGTCACATACACCGATCGCTCTTTCCCCAGGTTTTCCTAACCATTCATTCACAGTTCAACTTGCCCATATCGCTAGGGTAAGTTGGTTTTATATAGATCAAGATTCGTCATTCCTATGATAGTCTTTGACACGGTGGTAGAGAGATTAACGATGTTTGTACACTAGACAAATAAAAAAGAACAAAAATAAACTCATCGAGACATAGCAAACTCATCACGAGATTACCCCGCGCTTACCTCAAGGGAATGTTGTGTGTGTGGATGTATGTATACATGCATATGTATGTATATATATATATATATATATATACTTTAATGTCAAGGCGGATCTTTTATAACAGAAAAACAGAGTAAATATATATATGATTTTCAAAGCTTCGTCATATGCCTGAAGTACTGCATACTTGTACTGATGGTGCGTCAGTCACAGGGTGTTTTCTGTCTGTACTCATTCTGTGAATTACGCTTCTGTGAAGTGTGGAAATATCTGCATTCACTGAAATATAGATTAAATGTATATTTATTTGGTATTTCGCCGAAAAACAGCTGGTCTTTAAAGAGTAAAAACAAACAAACTTTATATATTAGTGAAAATAAAACAGTGTTATCTTTCAAATTCGATGACGAGGAACCCACTTTGAGACTAATAATGGCTGGAGACGGCTTGAATGGGTAATGAAGAAAAACTTTATTATAACAGCAAATGTACAACGTTTCGACAAGGTTTTGTCATCATCAGGTAGCACTTACAACGCTAGAATCCGGGTTTCGATACCTGTGGTGGGCAGAACATAGATAGCCCATTGTGTTTTTAAGTTAAATATCAACATGACATTTTCTGTCTTTTAATGATCTATTAATCACGTGTTGCTTTATATACGTACTAAACGTTGTGGAGCGTGGTTCAGGTCAATTTATTATAAGGTCAATCAATTCACGACCTATTAATCATGGATTGCTTTATATACGTACTAAACGTTGTGGAGCGTGGTTCAGGTCAATTTATTATAAGGTCAATCAATTCACGACCTATTAATCATGAATTGCTTTATATACATATTAATATACATATACATGTAGTATGGTTCAGGTCAGTGAATTATACTGTAAAACACGTCCACGTGTTGTTAGAGTAGCGTGAAGTGGTCGACGTATATATCGAATTCCTACACATTCTGTCATTACCATGTAGAAAGCATTAAAGCAACTTCCAAATATCATACAAAGGCTTTTTCTTTTTGAATCTATCTAAAACGGCTTTGAAAATTTAAAACGAATAAGTCCGATAGACTTTACTGTTTCAACACTGGGGTAGGTAAATAAACTGATAACAATATCTCGTGTCTTCTTCATCTGGAATATAGATGCTGCAGATTTATACCCATAGTTCCTGTGTAATTTTTACATTTTCTATTCCTATAGATGCTGCAGCTTTATAGCTACAGTTCCTGTGTAATTTTTACATATTCTATTCCTATAGATGCTGCAGCTTTATAGCTACAGTTCTTGTGTAATTTGTACATATTCTATTCCTATAGATGCTGCAGATTTGTACCCATAGTTCCTGTGTAAATTTAACATTTTCTACTCATATAGATGCTGCAGATTTATAGCTACAGTTCCTGTGTAATTTTTACATTTTCTACTCATATAGATGCTGCAGATTTATACCCATAGTTCCTGTGTAAATTTAACATTTTCTACTCATATAGCTGCTGCAGATTTATAGCTACAGTTCCTGTGTATTTTTTACATTTTCTACTCATATAGATGCTGCAGATTTATAGCTACAGTTCTTGTGTAATT